TAAATGGGCAGCTCCTGTCCGGAGGTGAGATGAGAAGGCAGAGAGGGTCAGGAGCTGGTTAAATGGACACGGGGAAATCAGGGTTGGAAAGGAGGAGTGTGCTGTCACAGTATAGGGAGAGCAACTAGGGTCACATAACAATGTATGTATAAATTTTTGTATGAGAGACTAACTTGAATTGTAAACTTTCACTTAAAGTACAACAATCAAATAAAATTTTTAAAAAATTATGAAGTAGGAATAGACATGTGAAAGTAGGAAAACCATTATGAGATTAGTGCTAAAACTGAGTGACTGGCAGGAGGAAGAGTTTTCATCTTAGCCTTTTTTGTCCTTCTTCAGTTTTCAGCCATGTGACTGTATTACCTGTTCAAAAATTAATTTATTTAAAAATATATAAACTATTAAAAATAAATTGAGCTAGAGTCAGGTTGGCCTTGTGCATTTAAAGGTGTTTCAAAGACTTAATGCTAATTAGAATGAATTGTTAGTGTATTTTGTTTATTTTTCAGACAATGCTTCTGGAGACCATGGGGACACTGCTAGTCTTGGTGCCATTAACCCTGCCTACAGTAACTCCTCTCTTACCCAGTCCACTGGGCACTCAGAGGAGCCCTTCACCACCTACTTTGATGAGAAGATTGCCATTCCTGAGGTTGAGGTTAGTGAGACGTCCTTGGAGGAGAACATGATTGTCTGGGGAAAACCTATGAATGAAAGCCTTTCTGGACAACTCAAGATCAATAGCCGTACATCTAATTTTGGCAAGCAGTCTCTGAAGGCAGATTTGGTTTTTAATTGGAATAAATAGAAACTGTTAAGAAAAATGAAGGTCTTGAAAATAAAGTTGCTAAATTGTACTTGTGAATATTTTTTGGTCAGGGAAGTATATGAATTTCATGTTTGTTTTTTTTAACCATGGCTCTTATTCCATTTGGGTAGTGGTTGGGGACTGAGCTACTGATATTGTTACTCTGTTTTTAGAATGAGAGGCTAATGGAAAGGGCAGGTAAAGGGAGGGCTATCATTTGGTCAGAGAAGTGGCCAGCTTAGTGATAGGTGGTTAAGATGGAAGTAAAACTTGGACACATTCAGTAGCCATAACCTAAATCTTTTGTTCCTGTGAGGCTGATACTGTTGCTTCATATGTGATAAAATAACAGGTAAATTAGATCAGTAGTTTGGAGGCGATACTCACTTTGATCTTTTTCTCTCGTGTAGTATTCGTGTTTTAGCTTTCGGAAACTCTGGGCTTTCACGGGACCAGGCTTTCTTATGAGCATTGCCTACCTGGATCCAGGAAACATTGAATCTGACTTGCAGTCTGGAGCAGTGGCTGGATTTAAGGTGAATATCCAGTCCCACCCCTGCCCCTTTTACACACATACAATGCACCCTCACATCCTTTCTTCTACCCAGCCTCAGGGGCTACATGCACATTCTTTATTGGCAGTGACACCTACGTGAAAGGCACTTTCCTATCTGATCTCACATTTTACCCACGTAGTTTTCCTTGAACAAAAGAAGGGTTTGCAGATGGGAAAAACAGGTTCAGAAAGGTTCAAGGTGGCCTAGTAGGTCGTGTGTAGAACTCGATCATTTGATTCCTGACTTGGTCTCTTTCCTGAATGTGGCATTTCATATTGTCAAACAAACAAACTCCATTGTCTAACGAGCTTCATGGGGAATTTTGTTCTTCTCTAGTTGCTTTGGGTCCTTCTTTTGGCCACCATTGTGGGGCTCCTGCTCCAGCGCCTTGCAGCTAGACTAGGAGTGGTCACTGGGTTGCATCTTGCTGAAGTGTGTCACCGGCAGTATCCTAAGGTGAGTAATGCACTGTCCTGTTTGTTCATCCCCCAGATCACAGGAAACTGTGTGTCTGGTCTCACTGTGTACTGAGACAGTGGAGGACTTGGCAGTTAGTGGCCCCAAGGACTCAGAGTCCCAAGGGAAACTATAGTCCCTCTTGCTGCCAAGCCAGCTTTCTCCCCTCCTTCAAAATTCAACTAGAGACTCACTTTTTCCCCAGGAAGTTTTCTTAGAAAAATTCTGTTTTAGAAAACATTTGCCATCCAGTCTACCTTCTGGCATCTAGCAGTGCCCAGGTTATGGAGGTTACTCTCTCCTTTTTCATTTGTTTGTATATTATTACATCGAGACTGACCACCCAGATTTCTCATGTTTGTTGTATCCTCAGCTAGAGTCTGAGTAGATCTCTTCTTCTGCAGTCATTTCCTGTTCTCCTTTGAACCCTAGTTTGACCATATTAGCAGCTTTATTTTCCCCTAAAACTTTTGGGATTGTTTTCAGCCAGGAAATTAAGCCCCTGGCTTTACCCAAACCGAAAACCAAACCCACTGCTGTTGAGCCAATTCCAACTTACAGCGACCCTATAGGACAGCGTAGAACTGCCCCATAGTGTTTCCAAGGCTGTAATCTTTACAGAAGAAGATTGCTGCATCTTTCTCCTGAGGAGCTGCTGGTGGGTTCAAACTGCTGTGCTTTCGGTTGGCAGCCAAGTACTTAACCACTGCACCAGCAGGGCTCCTAGGTGGTGTCTTAGTTATCTAGTGCTGCTATAACAGAAATACCACAAGTGAATGGCTTTAACAAAGAGAAATTTATTCTCTCACAGTCTAGGAGGATAGAAGTCTGAATCCAAGGTGCCAGCTCCTGAGGAAGGCTTTCTCTTTCTGTTGGTTCTGGGGGAAGGTCCTTGTCATCAGTCTTCCCCTGGTCTAGGAGCTTCTCAGCGCAGGAACCTGGGTCCAAAGGATGAGCTCTGCTTCCGGTTCTGCTTCCTGTGTTCCTTGTCTCTTCGAGTTCTGCTTGCTTGGTCTCTCGGCTCCTTGAGCCTCACCACTCACATCTGCCCTGCTTGGACAAGTTTTCCAAAGCTCTTTAGCTCCACTGATAAGTGCCTAGAGGCACCCTACTCTGCCAGGAAGCCTCCTGCGCAAAGGCATTCAGCTCTCTCGCTCCATGGGTTGGCTCCAGCACCATTTCGCACTGGTCTCCTGGTTCTGCTGCGCCGTTTCTCTGCTGCTGCTTCTCGCCATCTGTACTGTCTCCTGTGTTACAGCTCTCCTCATTTCCTTCTGAGTCCTCACCAGAGTTGTCTTTGATGTCTGTAATTCCACCAACAGTCTCTTCAAGGCAATCTAGGCTTTTACTGTTAGACACTTTAAAACTCTTCCAGCCTATACCCATTCACAGTTTCAGAACCACTGCCACATTTTTGGTATCTCTTAGAGCAGCTATAACAGAAATACCACAAGTGGATGGCTTTAACAAAGAGAAATTTATTATTTCACAGTCCAGGAGGCTAGAAGTCCAAATTCAGGGCACCACCTCCAGGGGAAGGCTTTCTCTTTCTGTTGGTTCTGGGGGAAGGTCCTTGTCATCAATCTTCCCCTGGTCTAGGAGCTTCTCAGCATGGGGACCTCTTACCACCAAGAAAGCAGAGCTGGGAGCAGAGCACATCCTTTGGACCTGGGGTCCCTGTGCTGAGAAGCTCCTAACCAGGGGAAGATTGATGACAAGGACCTTCCCCCAGAACTGACAGAGAAAGCTTTCCCCTGGAGTTGACCCCTGAATTTGGACTTAAGCCTCCTAGACTGTGAGAGAATAAATTTCTCTTTGTTAAAGCCGTTCGCTTGTGGTATTTCTGTTATAGCAGCACTAGGTAACTAAGACAGATGGCTTTAACCAGGGGCACTCAAATGAAAAGGAAAGAGAGAAAGTCAGGATCAGCTGCCACCCTGACCTTGCTCACAGACTCCACCACTGGAGGCCCACTTTCCTCCTCCAACTGGGGGCCACAGTGTAATGATGGGCTAAATGGAGCCAAGGTCTGGTATTTTGTCTCTAGCCTGGAGGCATGTAAGAACTGTTTGTGGGTCTATGCGAAAATATATTTGTATTCTAGAACTACTGAGGAAGTGCTCAGAAATGATTAATAAGAACCATATCTTTCTACTGTTTGGTGTTTAGGTTCCTCGTATTATCCTGTGGCTGATGGTGGAGTTGGCTATCATTGGCTCAGATATGCAAGAAGTCATTGGCTCAGCCATTGCCATCAATCTCCTGTCTGTGGGAAGGTGAGGGGGTTTTCCTCTAGAAAGTAATCAATTGTTTTGTTAGATTTCAAGAAATACAGCTTATTTGCAATTTTCAAGATTCAGCTCAAGTATTATTTCTTCTGTGGAACCTTTTCTGGAACCACCTCCCTCTCCCCCAGCAGACGTAGGCTATGCATTTTCCATGTTCCCATAGCAGTTTATATATACCTCTGTTTTAGAGTGGCTGGTATTTTATATTATATTTATTTATTTGTATGTCAGTTTATTCCACTAGATAGGGAGCTCCTTGAGGGTAAAACCGATACTTGTCATCTTTGTATCGTAAATGCCTGACAGATAGTAAACTCTCAATCAAAGTTTAAATGAATGTAATTAAGTTGGTGCTGTGATTCTAAACTGACTCAAGGCCTGGCTTCCTGCCACTGTCTCTCTCAGCCAAGTCCTTACTTCTCCAAGGGTTCTGTATCTGGAAGGCTGTTGGGAAGAGAGGGTTTCCCAATGTTTCCTTTCTTTCCCTTAATTTCCATTTCTTGTCTCTGACCTAGAGTTCCTCTGTGGGGTGGAGTTCTCATCACCATTGCAGATACTTTTGTATTTCTCTTTTTGGACAAATATGGTAAGCAGAATGGGGATAGAGGGGTAAGTCAAAGGTGCCACATTCCATCTGTGTGGCTGCTGGGGAAGTCTGCCCCTTTCTAGGGAATCACCTTCTGTGAGCTCACTGTTACGTTTTCTCCTTTAGGCTTGCGGAAGCTAGAAGCGTTTTTTGGCTTTCTCATCACTATTATGGCCCTCACATTTGGATATGAGGCAAGTGTTACAGCTATTCATTAGCTCTTTAAAGCAAAAAAAAAAAAAAATTTTTTTTTTGTATTTTATAAAAGACAGTATAATGCTAGGATGGTTTAATTGTATCACGTGAGTCAACAAAAATCCCTGGGCCAATTTTCAAGGAACCCGATCTATAGCTACAACCAGTATCCAGGAAGGCCTCCAGGAACTTGTAGGTCAAAAATAACTAGACTTTCTAGGTCTTTCCAGACCAGACTCCCTGGTTCCAAGTTGGCCATCCTAACAACAAAACAGCCACGGGGAAGACTGAGAAGGGGATCGCAATCATCTTCCTATGTTATTCTTGACTTTAACATAGGAGAGGGGAGGCGGTTCTGTTTTTTGCTCATCCTGGTTTATACTAACTTTAGCATGAACTTTTCCTGTATATGAGCAGTTAATGAGCTATAAGGGATATAGTGGATATTTCACACCTTGTGCCCTAACCCAGCACTCCTAGGAATCAGTGCCATTACATTGCAGTAAAAGCACTTTCTGGGTCCCACTTTTGTAAACTGATTACAGCTTGCTGGCCTGGCTGAACTTTAAAAAATGTATCTTATCTATGAGTAGATTATCTAGCTTGGTCTAAGGCTCTCCATCCCCTCACTCCCCCAAAAAAATACTGAACTGGGGAAAAGTATGTATGAGAAGTGTTTATGAATGAGTCTCTCACTGTATGCTAGTGGCAAACATAAGTAATTTTTAGATGAACATAAGTGAATAGAGCATGAGAACATGGATAATCAAGAATTGACTATTTTTGGCTGTCTCACAGAAGTTATTGTGAAGCTAGTAACAGTAAGGCCTTTAGCAAACACTTTATTTCCTTAGAATACTGATTATATTCTGTGCACATCTGTTTTGTATATCTTTAATATAAAATTTCCAGATGCCGCAGTCTTAAATATAATTCTCTGACCCCCAGCAGTGAGCCCCTTATGTGGCTAAATTTTTTGATGGCTTTGTATTCCTCGTTATCCTAGGTAGTGTTTGAAAAAGAAGGGTGGTGGGGAGGTGGTTGTAAGGAGTAAAGGACGCCGAATGTTCCCTGGTATTACTATGTTACTCCCCCAGACTCATGTTCCAGTAAAGGCTAATAGTTCTTATTTTGGCATGTAGTATGTTACAGTGAAACCCAGCCAGAGCCAGGTACTCAAGGGCATGTTCGTGCCAACCTGTTCAGGCTGTGACACCCAACAGATCGAACAGGCTGTGGGCATCGTGGGAGCTGTCATCATGCCACACAACATGTACCTGCATTCTGCCTTAGTCAAGGTGAGCAAAGCCCCTAATCACAGTGGCCTCATGGATAGTTCATGGGATCTTTTCCTTTAACTGCAAGGGATACAAACTTAATTTACAGCTGTTAGCCCCGTGAAGGGGCAAGGTATTTTTCCAAGGCTGGATGTTCATAAACTCCACACACTTGGACTCTTGTTTTTATCAGCAGGGTGATCAGAGATTACTGACCTAACAGAGAAATTGGACTGAAGTTGAAAAAGGCCTGAAGTATATCAAGCCTCTTGTGTTTAAATCTCAAAATCCTGTATGGTCTTGTGGAGGTTAAAAGTAAAGAGCCCAACCAGGCTTTTACCTATCAGTCTTACACAATAGTTTGCTGGGAGATATCAGAGACCTTTATAATTAGGGTTATGTAAAACCTGCGAAAGCTGGAACCTATGTAAGGTAGAAACCTGCCAGAAGGAAAATTCAAATGTTTTCAACTAAAAGGAGCAATAGAAAAGTGGTAAGTCTGCACCTTGTCAAAGGTGGAAAACTTGCAAAACCAGGAAAAACAAGGCAGTCCCGTTGAGTTCCAGCTCTCACAGGTTTCACTGTATATTCCTTGGGACCGAAGTCAGGTTGTTTTTTTGTGGGCCAGTGGTCCTTCCAGTCACAACAACTTTGAGAGCTCAGTAGTCAGTCACTGCTCCCTATTTGGAAAATAGGCAGTGTCTTCAGAGGGTCATAAAGTTCTTAATCACATAATAAAGCTAAGAACTAAGTGAGTGTTGACTGTCTCACCTTTCATCTGATCAGTTGTTTACCTTCTAAATCTAAATGTCTCCAGACTCATGAAGTGTTCTAGGAAGACTTGTTCCCACTGGTCAAAATAATGACTGCTGCTGTTCTTTCCCTAGTCCAGACAAATAAACCGGGCCAATAAGCGAGAAGTTCAAGAAGCCAATAAGTACTTTTTCATTGAATCCTGCATTGCTCTCTTTGTTTCCTTCATCATCAATGTCTTTGTCGTCTCAGTCTTTGCTGAAGCATTTTTTGGGAAAACCAACGAGCAGGTGGTGAGTAAGCCAGGGTCATAAGTGGTCGTGAGTAGTGGAGAGGGTAAAATGAAGACTGGAATGGGGTAGGGAAACAGAAAAGTGACTTGGAGCTCAGGGGAAATGGATATTGACCCTCAGTACTGCCCCTCAAAATCACTATGCACCAGTCAGGGTCTGCAGTCTGGAGGCTGAGCAAGGCTGGACCAACTTTCCCAGCTTTTGGTAGGAAGGGAACTTGCCTCAGACTCAGGATTGCCTCATGCTGTTGTGCTAGTTGCTACATCTACTTAATTCTTTCTCATCCCCTTTTGTTGCCTGTGTATCAGCTTCTGTCTGCAAGTCCAGCCATTTGTTAATGAGGACGGGCTAGGAGGAGTCAACAAACAAACAGACAAACTGGCTAGGACACACTTTGTTTTGTCATTTTGAATTCTGTATCCTCTTGATTACGGATTATCAATTTTTTGGTTTTTTTTTTTTTGCCCCTTTAATATATTTCTTTTTTTTTATATTGTGGTGAAAATACACATAAGAAAACATACACCAATTCAACAATTTTGGCATGTATAATTCAGTGACATGATTACATTTTTCAAGTTGTGCAACCATTCTCACTATCCCTTTCCAAATTATTCCACCACCATTTACAAAAACTCACTGCCCCCTAAGCAAAAATTTTCCCTTTCTCCCTCTCTCCCATCCTTGGTAACCACTAATTTTTGGTTTCTATATATTTGCTTAAGGAGCCCTTGTGGTGCAGTGGTTAAAGGGCTCGGCTGCCAACCGAAAGGTCAGCAGTTTGAACCCACCAGCCCCTCTGACTTCTGGCCCTGCTTTGACTAAGACACTCTATTCTGGGCTTTCTCTCATGTTTGAAGCCTTTTTAAGGACCTCTTCTCCTATCATTGTTTAAATGATCTATGTACATGTATTACCACGTACACTCAAGTTCAGTAAATATTTCTGATGGCATGGGGGATGTAGAAAGATTATGGAGGAAGACCACAAGTGATATTGCTTCCAGTCTCTTCCGATATCACGATCTTTATCCAGCTTTTTATCTCCCGCCTGTGTTTCATAGATAACTTAAGTGTGATCTGTAGGATAGCTCTTCTTACCTGGTCCTTGCTTCTGAAATAAAAGTTGCTCCTAAATTGCTTTGGATTCTAGGTTCAAGTCTGTAAAAACACTAGCATTGCCTGGACTGGCCTCTTCCCTGACAATAATTCAACGCTGACTGTGGATATTTACAAAGGGGTAAGTGTGTTCTGTTTGTGATCTTTACTTCTGAGACACATACTTGGCTTATTATCTGGTCTTTTCTGAGGTTTCACTTCAGATTTGAGCATCTGCTGGGATGTCATTTATTTCAGAGGTCCAGATGGCAGATAAGCATTTTGGATTACTTAGAGAATAGAGGATCAGCTGAAAAGATGAATAAAATACTGTTCTACGAGATGTTAGTTGGGGTGCCTCTAAAGAAAGGGTTCCTAGTAGAGTATTCTTTACTAGGCCTTCTCAGTCCCTTCATGCTGGCTACATTGTGAATCTCCAAAAGTAGAATATCTAGTATGTAGCATTTTCCAAAGGAGCCCTGGTGGCACAGTAGTTAAACACTTGGCTGCTAACCGAAAGGTTAGCTGTTTGAACCCCACCAATGGCTCTGTGGGAGAAAGTGCTGGCAATCTGCTTCCATAAAGATTACAGCCTAGGAAACTCTGTGGGGGCAGTTCTGCTCTGTCACATAGGGTTGCTATGAGTCAAAAATCAACTCCACAGAACCCAACAACAGCAACAAGCATTTCCCAGCATTTTTTGACCTCTTTTCTGCACTCTTATTGCCATCTTTGAGAATAGTGTTTTAAGGAATATAATTTGGGAAGTGCTGGTGTACATTTGTTTGTTTGTATAAGTATTTAAGGTATAGGTTAAAGATGAAGGCATTAGGAGCTTGGAGAAGGGAAAAGACTAGGCTGCGAAATAATGAGGCACCCAGCAAAACTGAGCTTGAAAGCCTCTAGCGTGAGAATAAGGCCTGAGCCTAGCTTCTGAGATAATGCTCAGCATAGCACTTGGTGTACCAAAAACCAAAGCCATTGCTGTCGAGTCGATTCCAACTCACAGCGACCCTACAGGATAGAGTAGAATTGCCCCATTGGGTTTCCAAGGCTGTAATCTTTATGTAAGACGACTGGCACATCTTTCTCCCATGGAGCAGCTCATGGATTCGAACTACTGACCTTTTGGTTAACAGCTGAGCACTTAACCACTGCGCCCCTAGGGTTCCTTAGGACTTGGTGTAGGAGGGTGTATAGTGAAGAAGAGGTAGCTGCCACAGAGAAATGCTGTTTAGGGTGTTGTCTAAGCAGATCATTGACACAAACATATCGTTTTCTCCTGTCGCTCCCAGGGTATTGTGCTGGGATGTTACTTTGGGCCTGCTGCACTCTACATCTGGGCAGTGGGAATCCTGGCTGCAGGACAGAGCTCCACCATGACAGGAACCTATTCTGGCCAGTTTGTCATGGAGGTACGTGCTGTTTTGACTGGTATGGAATAGAAAGAGAGGATATGGCCTTTTTGTTACTACTTCTTAATCGCACACTAAGATCTTTCCTCAAACTCTCCAAACCTTTTTCTGTTTCCTGTTCCAGACATTCATCCTGCTCCTGTGTTTTCTTCCAGGGATTCCTGAACCTAAGATGGTCACGCTTTGCCCGAGTGATTCTTACCCGCTCTATTGCCATCGTCCCCACTTTGCTTGTCGCTATCTTCCAAGATGTACAGCATCTGACGGGAATGAATGACTTCCTGAATGTGCTGCAGAGCTTACAGGTGAGGAGGGAGCTGGGGGGAAATTGAGAGGAAGAAGGAGGCACAGTGTTGGTCTGCAGTAAACATACGTGAAATCCTTGGCATCTAAAAGGCTTTTAGAAATGGCTTGGTTTTTTAAACCTGTTGAATGGGAATTACAAGCCATAATTAAACATAGAAAACAAAATTACAGTTCATTAATCCAAGCAAATATTTATTTATTAAGTGAACATATAGTACACTGTGGTAGGTACTGTGGAGGCTAAAGAAGACAAGGCAGATAGAGATATTTGTAAAGACACGATCATAATTGATACTAGGTTAATGACAGCTCTACAGATTTCAGCATAATGCTGGAGCAGGTTGGGATGATAGTGATAATTATTTCTCAATAACAGTACTCTCTGAGGTAATACAAGGCTCCCAGTGACCCACTATGATCTTACTTCTCTCTTTTCCAGCTTCCCTTTGCTCTCATACCCATCCTCACACTTACGAGTTTGCGTCCGGTAATGAGTGACTTTGCCAATGGAATGTGAGTATACTCTTCTCTCCGTTCCCCAAAGGGGATGCTGATATGTAGGGAAAGGGTATTTTCATCAAGTGGGCCAGTCTGAGAATGACTCACATAGAGGAACTATATGCTTTGAGAGATGATCTCTAGAGCTGCTTCCTGAATCCTTGGCTTAGAAAATGGAGACAGTGAATGTAGTAATGGAGGGAAAATACATTTTTCATTTCTGGGAAAAAAAAGTTCAGCTTTTAGGGCTTTAACTCTTCAACATCAGTCACTGAAATTTGAAGCATTTTAATTATATGTTAAATGATCTTAATGAGAAAGGCAGTGTAAGATGTATCAAATCCTCACTTTTCACTTCTCTGTGACTTCTGTTCTGACACCAGCTGTACATGCAGCACTTCTTCCTCTGGCCTTAACCACTGGATCTAGGTCAGGCCTCATAAGTTAAAAGACACAGTCCTCTACATTACCAGTTAGGCCTAAGACTTCAGATGCTACCTGCAAGCTTGGGAGTCCCCAGGTGTTGTGGATTGAATTGTATCCCCCCAGAATATGTGTTGTAAATCCTAACCTTCGCCTGTGATTATAATCCCATTTGTGAATGGGTTGTGTTTATTATATTACTGAGGCAGAATTAGTGTGTATCTTGAGTCAGTCTCTTTTGAGATATAAAAGAGATTAAACAAGCAAGTGAGACAAGCAGAGGTGAGGGAAGATTGTTGCCAAGCCACATGGAGGTCTCCAAGGAACCAGGAAACAAGCTGAAGAGACAAGGACCTTCCCCCAGAGCCAATAGAGAGAGAAAGCCTTCCCCTAGAGCCAGCATCCTGAATTTAGACTAGTAGCCCCCTAAACTGTGAGAAAATAAATTTCTGTTTGTTAAAGCCATCCACTTGTGGTATTTCTGTTATAGCAGCAGTAGATGAATAAGATAGAATTTGGTCCCAGAAGAGTAGGGTGCTGCTTTTAACAGATACCCAAAATGTGGAAGCAATTTTTGAATTGGATAATGGGTAGAGGCTGAAAGAGTTTTCAGGTGCCTAATAGTAAAGCCTAGATCACCTGGAAGAAGAGACTGTTGGTAGGATAATGGACCTCATTTCTGTTGAGGGCTCAGAAGGAAGTGAGGAGAGCTATAGAGAAAGTCTATAGAGAAAGTCTCTGTTGTCTTAGAGAATACATATGGTGCCAGCAACAGAATGTTGCTAGAAATCTGGACTTTAAATGTGCTTCTGGTGAGGCTTTAAAATAAAATAATGAACATATGATTGGACAATGGAGGAGGGGTGATGCTTTCTATGTAGTGGCAAAGAACTTGTCTGAATTATGTTCAGATGTTTGGTGGAAGGTAGAATTTGTAAGTGATGAACTTGAATATCTGGCTGATGAGATTTCTAAGCAAGATCTTAAAGGGGCCACTTGGTTTCTCCTTACCGCTTACAGTAAAACACGAGAGGAAAAAGACAGACTTAAAAATGAACTGTGCAAAATGCAAAAAAAAAAAAAAAGTTAAAAATTTGGAAAATTCTGTTATACAAAATAAGGACACATGTCCTAGAATTTTCACCAAGGACATGGCTGCACAAACTTTTGTTAAAGAGATTAAGCTTGTGACTGATGGATCTAACCAAGTACCACAGGAAAAAAACCATCAGCTTAGACTGAAGGGGGCAGAGAAAGAATGAAAGAGAACATTGTCTGCTTCTTGGAATTCTACAGGCAGGAAACAGGCCCGTTGTTGTCCTCCAAGAAAAGAAAAGAACCATCCCTGAAGCAGCTTGGAGATCAGTAGAACTGTTGTAAGGAGCACAAGAACAGAGCTGCCACAGTCTCAAAGGATGGGGCCATGGCCTCTGGGGTTTCAAAGGGTGGGGCCACAGTCTCCTAGGTTTCAAAGAATCAGATCGTCACCAACTCGGTTCTGGAGTGTGGGGCTACTTGTAAGGGGTGCCAGGGAGATAGGGTCACCGTCCAAAGCTGAGGAGGCAGAGCTGCTATGCCCAAGAGACAGAAGAGTGGGGCCTGCCAGGGCTGAGGGGTGGGATCGCCACTCAGATGGACTAGGAAAATGAGGCCACCCAAAGCCAAGGGAGCAGAGTTGCCATCCCAGCGGGCCTGGAAGGTGGAGCTGAAGCCCAGGGCCAAGGGGTCTCCACCCAGAATCCAGAGGGCATGCTAACACCCAGAGTCTGGAGACAGGACCATTGCCTAGATGGTCTCAGAGAAAAGAGGATTATTTTCAAGCCTGAAGAGCTAATGTAATATGTTCTGCTGGATTTTGAACTGACTTGGTGCCTGTTTATCAATTCTTTCCCTTCAGTTCTCTCGTTTGTAATGGAAATGTTTACCTTGTGCCTGTTCCGCTATTGCACTTTGGATAGATAGCTTATAGTCTAGATTTCACAGGTTCACAGATGAAGAGGAATTTTGCCCCAGGTTGGAATATGCCTAAAGTCTCACCCATATTTGGTTTAGATGATTCAGAAGATGAGATTTTGGATTTGCATTTGATTTAAGACTTTCGGGATGATGTGATGGGGTGAATGTGTTTTACATGTGGCAGGGACATGAATTTTTGGGGGCCAAAGGGTAGAATGTTATGGTTTGAATTGTGTCCCCCAAAAATATATGTTGTAAATCCTAACCTCTGCCTGTGGTTGTAATCCCATTTGTGAATGGGGTGTGTTATGTTAATGAGGCAGGATTAGGTTATGTTTATTATATTAATGAGGCTGGATTAGGGTGTATTTTGAGTCAGTCTCTTTTGAGATATAAAAGAGATTAACAAGCAAGCGAGAAGCAGAGATGGGGGAAGACAGATGCCACAGCACATGAAGATCACCAAGGAGCCAAGGAACAAGGACCTTCCCCCACAGCCAACGGAGAAAGCCTTCCCCTAGAGCTGGCGCCCTGAATTTGGACTTCTAGCCTCCTAAACTGTGAGAAAATAAATTTCTGTTTGTTAAAGCTATCCACTTATTGTATTTCTGTTATAGCAGCACTGGATAACTAAGACACCAGCGCTTCCCTCACTTCTGACCTGCTGGCTTCCACTACTTCCTTGGGTTTGATGATTTGCTAGAACTCACAGGACTCACATATAGCACTATACTTACGGTTACAGGTTTATTGTAAAGATTACAAATCAGGATCAGCACAAAGAAGAGGCTTATAGGGTGAGGTCTGGGAGAGTTCCCAATGTGGAGCTTCCATGTCCCCAAAAAGGGACATGCTGCCTTCCAGCGTGCACTGATGTCTTTCACCAGCAATGAAGACCATGGAACTTCTGTGTCCAGAGCTTTTGTTGGGGTCTCATTATGAAATCCCCACAGGTCTGTCAGTTTTTCATACTGTGGTAGCTTGTGGTGTGGCTGTGATGCAGGAGGCTGTGCCATTGGTATGCAAATATCAGCAGGGTCACCCATGGTGGACAGGTTTCAGCTGAGCTTCCAGACTAAGACAGACTAGGAAGAAGGACCTGGCATTCTGCTTCTGACCCAAGCCGTGGTGTTTTCAGTCGCTTCATATGCAGGTGAAAGCTGGACAATGAATAAGAAGACCAAAGAAGAAATGACACCTTTGAATTATGGTGTTGGTGAAGAATATTGAATATACCATGGACTGCCAGAAGAACGAACAAATCTGTCTTGGAAGAAGTACAGCCAGAATGCTCCTTAGGAGCAAGGATGGCGAGTCTTTGTCTCACATACTTTGGACATGTTATCAGGAGGGACTCATCCCTGGAGAAAGATATCATGCTTGGTAAAGTAGAGCACCGGCGAAAAAGAGAAAGACCGTCAACAAGATGGACTGACACAGTGGCTGCAACAATGGTCTGAAGCATAACAATGATTGTGAGGATGATGCGGAACTGGGCATTGTTTCATTCTATCGTACCTGGGGTTGGTATGAGTTGGAAGCAACTCGACAGCACTTAACAGCAACAACATTATGAAATTCCAACTCCAGCCCCTCTCGCCTGAGGTTGGTCAGTGTCACCATGTGATCATGAAATTGATATATGCCATGGGTATTTCTGGCCTGACCAGCTCCCACTCAAGAATTACCTTATTAGCATAATCTGTTAGTTTAGGTGTGGTCTGGAGCCCTCATCAAAGAAGTTATGATTACTGAGGAAATTACAAGGATTTAGAGGTTATGTATCAGGAACCAAGGACAAAGACTAAATTTCTTGGGTAAAGTTAACGTAAACCCCATAGGCTTGAAGCTAATGCCTTTTGTGTATACCTTTAAAGCATTTTTTTTTCACTCTATATATCAGTCTCTAACTTTGTCTCATTTAACCTAATCTGGGATATATGAAGGACAATTTTGCATTCATTCATTTTGAAATGCTTCTTACTCCTCTGTCCTCTTCACCCCAGAAGATGCAGGTTCCTTTTCTGGTTGTGGCCGGGTTGGACTATTCCTCCACTTGACTGTGCTGATTCTTTTACAGAGGCTGGAGGATTGCAGGCGGAATCTTGGTCGTTACCGTCTGTTCCATCAACATGTACTTTGTAGTTGTTTATGTCCAGGAACTAGGGCATGTGGCGTTGTATGTGGTGGCTGCTGTGGTCTGCGTGGCTTATCTGAGCTTTGTGTTCTACTTGGTAAGTCCAGTTTAGAGGGGATGGGGGCACAGGTATCAGGGATGATGGAGGTGGTCTGACATTCAGAAATGAAGGAACCCAAAAGAGCACATAACAACCTATCTTCCAAGTTATGAGACAATTTATATGACATTGTCAAATCAGCTTAAGAAACAATATTTCTAATCATAAAATTTACCTTGGTTCTTAAAGTCTGTTATTTTTCTATTTCTGTCACTTCATTTGGTTTCTATTCTTAATAATTCTTAACAAGAGAGTTTAGTATGTTTGAAGAACTGAAGGAAGGGTAGCAGTATAGAGAATGAAGGAGAAAGTGGAGAGTGGTACAAGATGGAGTTTGACAGGGGCATATGCACTGTGATTAAGAGCTTTGGGGTGGGACACATGCGGCTTTGCAGCCCAGCTCCACTACTTACTAGCTGTCCAATGAGGAAATAAGTAAATAGTGATATTTTCTCATTGGATTATCCTATACCAAAAAAAAAAAAAACCTGTTGCCATCGAGTCAATTCCAACTCATAGTGATGCTATAGGACAGAGTAGAACTGCCCCATAGGGTTTCCAAGGAGCGGCTGGTGGATTCGAACTGCTCACCTTTTTTTGGTCAGCAGCCCAATACTTAACCACTACACCACGAGGGCTCCGGATTATCCTATAGTCATTAAAAAATGATGGTTATGAAAACCATAGGTACATGGAGAAGGAATGTAAAATTATTAACACCCAGATTATCAGATTACAAAAACAAAATTTTAAAGTCTAGAGTAAAATTATGCAAAAATGATAATAGTAGTTGTCTTAGGGAGGTAGGATTATGGATATATTCTTTTATCTATTTTCCAAGCTTTCTTTTTTTGCAATTTTCTGTAACATTGGTTATATTAATGAAAAATGACTGCCACGGGAATAAGTCCACCTCTCTGTCCTATGCAAGTTTCTCTGAAAAACAGAAGGTTGGGAATAAGGAACAGCAGAATTTATGCCATATCTGCTGCAGAGAATCCCCTTAAGGATGGAGGCTGGAACCTTGTTGATCTCTAGAATACTTAACCTAGTCCCCCTGCCAGTCTGCCACAGGTTAGGTACCTGACTGAGCAGATCACTTTAGTGGATTATGAAAAATTGTGTCTTGGATTGATGGAACTCTGCTTTCCTCCTCCCCAACAAACCTTGGTCACACTAACATTATTCCGACTCTGTCAATCTCGGGACTTACTCTAAGGAGACCCAAGTAACTGAATATGTCCTTGACAGGAATTGTTTTAAAAATCCCCTGTAGAAGTTAGGGGAATGCCTCCCTCATGAGAAGTGGTCATGAAGGTACCAATTTGTCCGCAGACTGCCTGTGACTAGTAAGATTGTTGAAGACCCAATTTTAGGGCTGAGGGCTGATTCTGGAGTTGGGTTACTGCTGTTTAGCTCCAAAACAGGAATCTCACAAAGCAGCCCAGGAGACCATTCCAGTTGTATTTGTCAGTCATTCCCCCTGATCTCGAGCACCCTTAGAGGTAAGGGATGAGATAGGACTGAAGGAAAAGTGGTCTAGGGAACTCCCAGCCTGATAAAACAAACAAACTATAAACACAAATCAGTGGGAACAGTCAGACAGAACTCTGGCAATCAGTACTGAAAATAGTATGGAAAAGCTTTGTGGACGAGAGCCAGGTCCATGCAGGAGGGTTGGGGTTGGAAGAATGACTTGTGCAATCCTTGGTGGCGGAAGATAGGCAAAGCTGAATGTTAAAGGAAGGGAGCAGGTTTGCCTCTGAGCAGTGCAGTGTGATCAGTCATTGTGGGCAAGGGGTCTTCAAAGAGACTGGGTGAATGATGACCATATTTTATCTTTCAGGGTTGGCAATGTTTGATTGCACTGGGCATGTCCTTCCTGGACTGTGGGCACACGGTAAGCATCTCTAAAGTCCTGATGACCGAAGAAACCACCAAGAGCTATACTGAGTAAACACTGACTGGATCAGTTTGTCTGTTCTCCGCAGGTAGCCATCAGAGCCAGTGTGTTTCTATGGTTTACTGTGTGAATATAGCCAAAAGCATATGCTGTTGCATAGAGACCACTTAGGACTCAACTGTTTGTTAGGAAAGACTTTGTTTCATACATATTTGAAAGATGAAACTTACTTTCTTCCTCTCCTACTAACCTAGGAACTGGATTAGGTAGGATCTTTGAAAAGCTGACATTTGCTGCTCTCACTCCAACACTGAACTCTTACTTAGCTGCTCAAGGGCCAGCTTGTTTGATCCTTTTGGGAGATAATCCTCCATGCTTCTTAACCAGGCTGTATATTAAAAAACATCATATTTGGGAAATGCAGTAAATTTTTCACAATATAAACTACAGTATGGGTGTGCAAATTTAATCATATAATGATGGACTTTAAAAAGCTGAGAAATACTTTTTTTTTGCATACCCTTTTACTTATGTTAATTATAAAATATAAAAACTCAGCTACAGTAGTTTTATCCATATTAAGTATAAAATGAAGAGATCTCTACCTCTGTCAGGCTCAGGATTGTTTTAATTTTGTCCCACTTTAAATTTCTCAGTGGAAGTTGACAGAGGTGAGAAAGCATAAAGAAGGTGGAAAATCGATAAATAGCAAAACTCATCTGTAGGTGGTGGTTACTACTTACCTTCTGAGGATTTTCCTCAGTGAGTGTGAAATCTTAAAAGGATTTTCTTGGGAGTCCTGAGTTTAATAACCTTCATGTTAGTATAGGGCTTTCCTGATGATATTTCCTCTCAGGCACATAATTGTAAAACCTTCATCGTCCTCCTTCAGGAGGGGGGTGATAGAAGAAGATGGTAGGATTCATAAACTGGAGTTCTCATGAGACTTTGGGTACATGGAAAGGGTGGGGAGAAAAGACTCAGACGGAGAAGAAGAGCCGTCTTGTTTATTCCTAAAGGCCACCTCTCAGCAGAATCATGTTTTTGTCTGAAGCATCATCCTGCTTCTTGTCCAAGATGACTTGCAAGGCAGTCTCAGAGCTATGGACCTAAACATTGCAAAGCTCGCTCTCAACAAGGTTGAACTGGCCTACCTCCCTTCACCTATTCCCTTATAGGGAAAAACTTTGAGACCAGATGGTGGAGCTCTGGAGTCAGAGGAAATGTGTTTTCAGCATGAAGCTACAACTCTTATTTCAGCCACTTCTGACATTTTTACATGTGGAGCCTGAAACTACGTGATTATCTCAAGTCAAATCACGTTTGTCCGGTGGAGATAAATAACCAAGTCTCT